ACTACCAGAAGCTAATGTATTTCCATCAGGAGAGAAACAGACTGAGTAGACAGTACTAGTATGACCATCTAATTTGGCTTTTTATTATCCTGTTTTGACATCCCATAGACAGATAGACCCAACTACATTACCAGATGCTAATGTATTTCCATCAGGAGAGAAACAGACTGACTACACATATGTATGACCATCTAATTTGGCTTTTTATTATCCTGTTTTGACATCCCATAGACGGATAGACTTATCGTAACTACAAGATGCTAATGCACAACCATCAGGAGAGAAACAAACTGACTTAATTTCTTTGGTATGACCATCCAATTTTTATTTTTTTTTTTTTGTCTTAACATCCCATATGTAGATAGACAAATCACTGCTTCCAAAAGCTAACGTATTTCCACCAGGAGAGAAACAAACTGAGTCGACAGTTCCACTCTAGCAATCCAATTTTATTTTTTATTTTCCTGTTTTGACATCCCATAGACGGATAGACTTATCGTAACTACCAGATGCTAATGTATTTCCATCAGGAGAGAAGCAGAGTGATCTAACATAACTAGTATGACCTTTCAATTAATTTAATTCATGAATTCTTAAGTATTTCCATTTACAATTCAATAATAATGCTCCATTCAGATTTATTCCACTTATGTTGACATTATTAAATTCAGATCCACTAAAATTACACCTAACAAAAATAGCTCCTACTAGGGATGTATTTTAGATCCTAATATTTTCATAATTTTTGTTTCTAAAGTCTACCTTAACCTAAACTAAAAGATGAAATGCATTAGACCCACATTATATCAAAGTTTCATCAATGGATGTGAGGTGAACTAAAAATTACAAAAATTCAACGATCGTTGTTTTATCCTTGATGCTATTCATTAGACTTAATGTAAAAAATTCATTTTCTTCAGAGGAAAAGTCTTTTTTGTTGAAGTCATGATCTTTTAATTTTTTTAAGACATCTGTCATTTATTTCATGCCTTCTCTTACAAGTGACAATTTATATTCTATATCAGCTTGGTTGATATTTCCTTCTTATTATAAAATTTATAATTCTAGTTGCTTTTGATTCCAAATATCTGATAAAAATCCAATGCAATCTTTACCTTTCTCCTTTCTTAATATTTCTAGTATGAGACCAAAGATTTGTATATCTACATCTTTTACTGAATCAAAGATGTCATTTAGAGCGCCCTTCTATTAAAAAGGACTCTGCATATTCTTTTTTTAATTTTAATATTAAATTTTTATGACTCTAATTTTAGGTTATAAATAATGAAAAAAATCGATAATAGTATCTTATGCATTTTTGTAAATTAGAAGTTCAGACATTGTGTGTATTGGAAATTGATAAGAGAAGAGGTAGAATATTACATTGAAAATTTATTCTAACGTTTGCATAGCTAGTTTCTTGGAGAATATAGAATATCTTATTTTTATATGAAATATTTAATTTATACATAATTTGTGTTCTATGATTTATTGACTCATCCTTCTTGTTTAACATCTCTATTTAAGTATAAATAAAGATTTCAGTTATATATTTACATATTGGAATATGCCTGAACTAAATCTTGTCCACTATGTAAAATATGTAAAATGAGTGATTTTAGAACTAGGATAATTGAAATAATGAATAAAAGAGTTAAAAAAAAAGGAGTAGATCTTTTCTAATTAGTAGGAATAAATTTGAATATAAAGGCTTCTCAAGTTAGATCTATCTAATGAGCTTTGAATTTTAGAGTTCATAATTAGCCATTTTTACACTGTTCTTGATGTCTTAGAAGATCATTAGAGGACTGTAAGGGTTTTAAGCTTATAAGTAGTCTCTCAAGGATGTTTAAAATTACTTGATTGAAAACCAAGTAAGATGGTCATAAGAATTGGGTAATGTTGGTCTTCTAATCGAAATATAATAGCTTCTGAAAGTATAGATGAGTCTAATTGTCAATGAGTATGTGAATACATAATAATAGAAAGCAAATTTAAATGGCCACAAGAATTTTGTAATGTTGTTTTGATTCTTTTTTTTATAGAAATAAATGATCTTCTAGTAGTTAAGAAGAGTTTATCATATATTAGGGATTTCAAAACAGAGCAATAAAAAGTCAATTTTAAGGGTCATCAGAATTAGGTAATGTAAGTCTGTTAGAGAAATATAGAGGCTTCTGAAAGTTGGGATCACTCTAGCTGCCTATAAAGATGCTAAATAAGTTGATAGAAGCCAAGTAAGATGGTCATAATAATTGGGTGATGTTTTCATCTGATAGAAATATATAAAATTTTGGTAATATAGATAAATCTCTCTGCCTAGATACTAAGAGAGATGCATAACTCATACTATCATCATTAAGCTTAGAATTGTATCCTCTACTAATTGGTATATGATATGTCAATAATTAAATATGATGAATATTTTGCAAGGTGGTGTTACC